AGACATTGTGAAGAAAATAACATCTTTCACTATGCGAGGCCTCTTTGAAGAAAGGGCTTTGATGATTCCAGTGGGATGGAAAGGAGGTGGTTAATGTTTAGTTTAGTGCTTTATCTTGTATAGAATAATAAGTTGCTGGTTTTCAACATAGAGGAATGTTTACAGAGATCTATACTAAGGATAGGTATTGCTTGATGTAATAAATACTCCTAACTGGGTGAACAAGGTGAAAGATGATTCTGAAAATGGCACAAATAATTTGGCTTTAAGAGAAAAGATGACTGAGAAATCTAACAACAAAAGGATGGCACAATGGGAGGCAAAATTTAATAGTGACAGATGCTAATTTACATTGGCAAGAGTTGTTTGAATTGCTAATAAATATTGCTGAGTTCTATTCATTGATAATACCGGAACAGAGCTATAGTCAATGAAAATGCATGTAAGATAGCTAGAGCTATACTATGCAATTAACCTGTCGGACACAATGCCACAAGATACCATTTAAGCCTGGTGTCTAGTAGGAATCAAGAAAGGCTCAATGATGAGCACCTAATCAATTACACATTTAGTGGAATGTTAATATCCACTTCTATCCTATGGAGTGCCTAGAGTGAATTGCTAACTTAGAGGGGAAAAAGAAGGTGTTTCCACAGATGGGTATTTTCTACTCCAGTGTTTCACACAGATACTAACAATTTTCTGAGACTGTGGAATGGTCAAGTCATTGAGCTGATCCAGTATAATAATTCTAAGTCAAACACAACAAAACCTACCTCTATTCATATTGGTGTGTAGGAAATCAGTAAGATATTTTGATTGTTTTGAGCAGTGCTGTCAAATATATTTGAGTAGATTAATGATGAGAGGTAAGATGAACTTGAAATATTACAAAATGGATTGCAAAAAATGCACAACTAGATTAATTTACACATACGATAAGAAAACCCTAGTAGAGAAGGGGTCCTATGTAAATACATCTGTATTTTTTCTCCAAATTAAAATAAAAAAATTGAAAAGATGGTAATATTCATTATTTGTGTGTATACATATGTCTTAAGTTTTCAGTTACTAGGAGGACCCTGTGCCTTAGTAATTGAATCACTATGGAGTATTTTAGGAGGTTAAGAATTACGCTGTCCAACCCACGAATAAGTTAGTAGGGTACAGTGATGTTACACGTGATTTTTGCTTTCATAGTTACCTTAGTTTAGTATATATTCTTAACGTCATGTCCTTTACCCAATTATAAATTGACTGCATTATCTTATCCTAACTAAAATACATCTTGATCGCTAACTTTATGCTTTTTTGTTTTGTTTTGTTTTCCAGTTTAAAAGAATGCTCAACCGGGAGCTAACCCACCTGTCTGAAATGAGCAGGTCAGGCAATCAGGTCTCAGAATATATATCAAACACATTCTTAGGTAAGACTATGATGGGATTAACTTTTTTGCCTTTTGTTTTTTATCTCTCTCTGGGCTGTGATGGAGCTTAAAAGCAAGTAGCTTTCCATATTAATTTCTGTTTTCAGAAACTGTACATTTAGTATCTCAATGTTCAGTGTTTGAGCAGAGAGATCATGTTAGATCCATTTCCTCACAGTTCATTTAGTTTGTGTATGTGGTTTCCCTCTGTGTGTAATTACAGATAAATATTCATATACATATTTTCATGTGACCTTACAACTACTATATTGTTACCGTATTAAGAAATTAATCTATAATGAATTAATTATATATTAGAAAGAATTCTTCCACTCTGTTTCCCTTATGAAAGTTACCGCGAAGAGGTTTCAGTGTGCTGGAAGCACACAAGCACACGTAACCTCATAAAATCTTGTAGGGCACGGTTCTGATACTTTGGTATTCCCTGCCTCCACATGAGTGGGTGGATGAGTATGACTAAGTCAATGTCTGAACAGACTGCTGCCAGGAGAATTTGCGCAGCTCAAGAGCTTGCATGGTGGGATGTAAGCATTAAAAAAAGCCCGACACAATATTACAAAGAGTGTGGCTCTTCCTCTATGGCTTTGCAGAGCTAAGTTTATTTTTTTTTGCTAAAACTGGTGAAAATGAATAAAACTTGGTTCCATACTGTTGATTTTGAACATGAAAGTAAACCTAATACCTCAAACATGTTTTGAGCAAAACTCTATTGGTTCATAAAGACTGTGCATGTAAGGGGAGGTGCAGCTGAAGACGTCTAAATTAGGATAACAAGTACTTTAAAAAGTGCCAGTCACATGTGTTAAGATAACATCTTGGTTTATTTGTGTGAGATACCATAGCTGGTGCTTTCTGTGTTTTTTGAAAGTGGTTTTTTTAAGTACATTTTATCCTGCTTGTCACCATATCCTACATGGATCGCTTAATGTGTCTGTTCAGTTTACCCATGATTGCAGTAGCGTGCCTGGGCGGTATGGCACAGCAGGGTTTCAGACAATAAGGGAGGGATGAGCCTCTGTCATGGAGAAGCAATATTGCACAGCTTCAGGAGCCCTGAAAGTAACAGTGTACTGTTGCCTGAGAAGATGACCCACTTAGGCTGAAAAGACTGAGATACCAGTTTCTGCTTGCTTTTACTTGAAAAATTAAGGCTCATTTTGGTAAGGAAATGCATCTGTCAGCCTTTTACATGAGACCTCATTCTTGAGTGGAAAGAAGGCTGGAGAGGCAGTCACTTCAGAGTTACTGAGCTATGGGTATTGTTTTGTGGTAACCTAGGATACTTAAAATTGTAGATACAAGAGGAATACAATGGGGAAAATACCTCATCTACAGAATTGCTGCTTAAATAGAGTATTTTCAAAATACGCAGTCTCAGTATGTAGGTTCTGAGCAACAATGTGAAAAGGGAAAATATTCTCTCCATACAAAATTTCAATGAATCTAACTAGTTAGTTTTCTAAATACATAAGTCATCTCCTGAACATCTACGGACTTTCTTACATTTGAAAGTTAGGAGCATGTCATGAGAAAACAGGTTTTCCTGTTATTCTTATTCCTATAAAAAAAAGAAGGACTGTTTTCCCAAGTAGGGCTATATGACATATATGAAGTTATTCATAATGACAACAAATATATTCCTTGTGTAAGAATTACGGCTCCTACATTGAGTGTAATAATATGCAAGGTTTTTATTTTTCAGTATCACTAACCTGTTTTCCTATGAACGTAAGATGTAAGAGAACCTGTCAATGAGCACAGCACAACCAGGGTCAAAATGGCAAGCTGTCTTTTCTGGATGTTCGGGTGGGCGCAGGATCCTTTGCCCTGTGTGCTCATAGTTACAAAAGCAGAGGCAGTCCCGTGGAATTCCTCCGGAGATCTAAAGTCGCTCAGACAGACACTTCCTTTCACTTGAGTTAGCCTGACAGCTTGGCTTATGAACCTCCCTTTGATGAGTCTAAACTTTGTGCATATGACCGAAACGGTAAACATCAAAGCACGAACACGAGTCACTGCTCCTCATCTGTTGTTGGTTTGCTCCAGTCAAGAGCTGCCGCGCTCCGCCTCCCCCTTTCCTTGGTTGTCTGTATGAGGAGAGTGGTGAAGTATGAGAGTGGTGGGGGCAATCGGGGAACTCGGTGCCGCAGGCTAAAGCTCGGTGACATTTCCACAGTCTCTTCTTCGCTGTGATTTGTTTGGAATTTGAGGTGTCCAGTAAATGCGGCTGCTAAAGGGTAATTAAAAGAAAGAAATGGAAAAAAGAAAGTAAGTGAAGAAGCAAACACAGTAACAATCTGGGAATTAGAAATGGACTTGCTACCCTCATCTGGTTTCAGTGTCTTTATTGAAAATGACCATTGCAGGAAGGGACAAATAGACATACATTTTAAGGAGCCCCAATTTTTTTTTTTTTTTTAAATTTCTTTTGTTCTAAGGTGTTTTTTAAATCGTAATTTTTTCTAGGCTCCTGTGTTAGAAACATCTGTTCTGGATTTTCCTGGGTTTGCTGGAATATTCCTTGAGGACTAGAAAAGGTGCAGGCACATTTCAGCAAAGAAGAGATAATTTGGAGGGAGTCATTAAAACTCTGTGTTGAAATATAGTCTGAATAAAAAGAACAAAATTTAATGCAAATTCCTAGCAGTTTTGGCGGGAGAGTCCTTTGTTGCACTAGCTTAGGTTTCTTTGGGGAACACGGATGTCTGCAATGCTCTACATCCCCATACTGTTCCTGCAGTGATCAGCTGGTGATGGCCTAAATATACTTTTACTCTCAGTTTAATCCTTGTCTAAAGTTTTCCTGGCACATACGTTGATGAGATATATGAAGTAATGTTGCTGATACTGCTATGGAGGCAAAACCCCACAGCAAAATGTTGGGATTTAGCAAAACGCTCCTTTTGTTGGTATTACTTACTCTGGTTGCGAGGTGCAGAAATGCACTGCATTGCTGGCGTGAACTGCTTCTGCATCCAAAGCGCTTGTAGATGTGGCTGGTAAAAGGCCTTCTGAGTTGTACAGAGTCTTAATGCAAACAGAACCAGTCCCCAAGTATTAGGTCCTTTGAGTCCTGAAAATGTTTTGTAAAGGTTTACGTGAGATACCGTTTTGATTGTTTTTGAAATACAATTTCAGAGAGTGTTTTCCCTGGAAAAGAATAAATTTTTAATTTTTTTGCAAAATAAAAGTTTAGATTTCTGTTCGATTGTAGTAACATTTTTACAATAAAAGGTTTGACCCTCTCTACAGCACTAGGGGTGCAGAAGAAGTGGAAATCAGACAGTCATAAGTCACATCTAAAGCCAGTTCAGAAATAATGAGGCAATTTGTGAAATAGAGATCTGCTTATACTGAGGTGTAGGTCTACCTTTATCTTTTCATGTTTTTATTACTCTTGATATGAAGTATCTGTTGCAAAATCTCCAAACATAAAAATAAAAACCGTGTTGTTAAGAATTACAGTATCCATAAGATGCAATTCAACAGTGAAATGGACAAAAATATTTGTAGTTCCTTTAAAAGTTACTCTCTTTTTTTTCATTCTTTTGAAGACAAACAACATGAAGTTGAAATCCCTTCTCCGACGCAGAAAGAGAAAGAGAAAAAGAAGAGGCCAATGTCCCAGATCAGTGGAGTCAAAAAACTGATGCACAGTTCCAGCCTAACTAATTCCAGTATTCCCAGATTTGGAGTTAAAACAGACCAAGAAGATGTTCTTGCCAAGGTGGAGAATATAAAAATCCTTTAATTTAAACCATTGAATTAAAATAGAGGGTGGTCTTGTCAGTATTATTCCATCCTCTGCTTATAACCATTGATTTCAAGCTGTAGCACCAAAAGCAGGTCTCACTTGAAACAGTATAAATTTGGTGAAGTGGAAGAATAACAAGTAAAATGGCCTGAATCAGGCCATAAGGGTTAATTTCCAAATGAGCAGGATTTAATCTGGAGGTGAAATGTAAATTAGCATTTGTGTATGCATTAATAAAGCTGCTTGTTCATAAATAATATCTAAGGAATGAAGAGTAAATATACCATATACTGTCACAGGAATGAAAATATATAGCAGCCCTATGTTTTTTGAAAATGCACAACTGGTATATAGCATTAGAGCTATCCTTCCAGGTCCTATTTTTAGCTGTATCATTTTACGTACATCGTTTGTGTTTTGGTTTTAGTGGCATTTCCTATGATTTTTGCACCAGCAGCTAACTAGTTGGCAATAATCTAAAACTGGCATAAAGTGATTATTCATTTAATTTTAGAGTTTTGCATTTTGAAATATGCTTGTACTTATGTTTTCAGGAATCTCCCCCTTTACTTGAAGAGTGTTTCTGAGAACCAGGGAGACAGCAGCAGAACTGCAGTATCTCTGGAGGTTTCCTCCTTGCTAAACTCTGCTGTCACTGGGCAGTGAGGTAGCAAACTGTGTCAGTCCAGCTCATTCAAGATACTGTAGAATTTTTCCCTGGAGCAATCCAGTTAAGAGGAACTCTTTCCTGCTTAGTCAATTAAAATCTGAAAAGTTGGTAGCTGCAAATTCAAATATTACAAGATTAGTAGCAGCAGCTTTCCCCCTGGCAGAGTTTAGCATATAACTTTCACAGTGGCAAGATTGGAATCTTCATGAGTCTGCTGTTTGTTGCTGTTTCAATCAAAAAACGCTGGAATTTATGTGTTCGGTTTCAATGAGTCGTTGCTTGATTCTGCTCTAGGAACTAGAGGATGTGAACAAATGGGGCCTTCAGGTTTTCAGAGTAGCAGAGTTATCTGGAAACAGACCTTTGACAGTCATCATGCACACCATTTTTCAGGCAAGTAGCAGCAGCCATGCTGCTTTTTGCTTATCTTAGAGACTTTTCTGTGCTTTGTAATCGTAATTGTTTCTCTTTTCCTTTTCTAGGAACGGGACTTGTTAAAAACATTTAAGATTCCAGTAGACACTTTAATAACTTACTTGATGACCCTAGAAGACCATTACCATGCAGATGTGGCATATCACAATAACATACATGCTGCAGATGTTGTTCAGTCAACCCATGTCCTGCTATCAACCCCGGCATTAGAGGTAAACTACGCTGAGGTGGGAACGAGGCAGGCATGAGGGAAAGGGACAAACTAAGACTCTTCTAAACTAAATATTAAAGATCTTCGTTTCTGCAATATTTTTAAAAGAAATCTTAACATCTCTTTCATGAATTGTGCTCTTTTAAAGATATTTTGTGAGGATCAAAACTTACTTACATGTAAATATTGTGCAGAAAATGTCACATCTTTTTCTTTTAAACCGTGGTTTTATAGTTGCAGATTTGTGCTGTCATAATCTTTTTCATTGTAACACAATGCGTAACTTGTTTCCACCATCTCATTATTAATGCTACATCCTCTTCTGTTATTATTTCCCATGTGGGATTCTCATTAACCACAGTTAGTGGAATTGCTTAGGAAAGATAGTGATAAAATGGGATTCCCTCAATAGGGAATAGGCCACTTGTTTTTTGGCTTTTTCTTTGTGCACACTCATTCTGGTCCTGAAAGGCTACTTTTGTGTTTGTTTCTCAGGCAGAGTGGAACATGTACTAGATTTTCATTGGATTATCTCTTTTTTTTTTTTTCCATAAATATTTCGAAATTGTTTGGAAAGAAAAAACATATCACATGTTCTTTTCTGAAGAATTCTCTTGTCGAAAGTGCGTAAATCTCTGAAGTAGAAGGAAGTGGAAGAAAGATGGAGATTACTTTCCTTCTTTTAAGCACAATTCAGGTCTCAGCACAGCAAACATTGATACAGCCCAGTAAATTGTTGGAAAAAGGCAGATAAAGCAAGCAGTTGAAATTTTATTAGTTCAAAAGGATTTCCCCTCACTTTCAAGGAGGGTTGCATTTTGACTCTTTTTCATAATGACCAATCTTTCATGTTAATGAATGCTTCTGCTTTACCACCTTCTTTGCAAGAGGGTTATAAGTGAACCTTAAGACTGTTGGCAGGTCTCGATCCTCAAAGACTCAGCAATTCTCTTGGCAAAGATTTTCATTATCTCAAGAAGGAAGATCAGATTACGTTCTTAAATCACCACTGGCTTCACCAAACAGCTGAACTGGTCGTCAGTAGCATTTTCGGGTTTTTTTCCAGATCAATGGCCTTGTTCTCAGCAGAGCTTTAGCCAGTAAAATAGCAATGTCTGCCCAGTGCCACTGCTGACCTACACACTTCTGAGCTGTTCTTGATCAATTATGAAAGCAATTATATAATGTGGATGCTTGCGACAACAGGAGGCTCAGTGACATGCCAGGTCCATTGCAGTCCTCTCTTCCTATCTTCCTAAAAATCCCATACAGAGGAAAAATCAGTAAATGTTAAGTAAGATGCCTTGTAGTCTGCCAACATTAGCATCATTTAGGAGATGCGCGTCTTTCAATTATAGGACAATAAGTAGGAGTTGGGCTGAAATTTTTAACTTATTTGTGCTATAGATGATCTAATAAAAGTGGATTTATTTACAGACTGAAGCTGAAAAAACTTGAGTTCTTACGGAATTTAGTGATGCTGTCAGTGTGAAGTAAGGATCGTTTTACTTTGGCCAAACTTGAAATATTTATGAAATTCTACATAATTGACTATTTTACAAAAAGTTGTGATAGCCTATGTGTAAAATCTCTTGAGACCCCTGATACATTTCAAATGTGTTTTCCTTGTTCAGATCTAGATTAAAAGTAGAGTCCTTTTTGTTGAAAACACTTTTTCATTGATTAGTGATTGTCATTTCTGTTTCATGATTTTCTAGGCAGTGTTCACTGATTTGGAGATTCTTGCAGCAATTTTTGCCAGTGCAATACATGATGTAGATCATCCTGGGGTTTCAAACCAGTTTCTTATCAACACAAGTAAGTTTGATGTTCAGTGGTTTTCTCAAAAATTTGCTGCAAGATCTGCATGTAGCACCTGAAAAATACATAGTTCATTCCTTGTTTGCTTCTATCTGTACCTTTTCTCAGTAAATAGATAGGTATTTGTATTTTAAACTGGGTATTATTTTGCATTTCTTATAACTTTAGAAATAATATACATAGTACCCTCTAGCAAGAATTACTAAGACATGAACTATAATCCTGGCACTGTTTCAATGCACTGGATGTGGTGTCTCCTGGAAATTAGTTGGTTTACATTAAATAAATAAAGTTGTAGGAGAAAAACGAAGGAAGATTAAATAAAAAATCAAAAAAAAGAAGACCACAGTTCATGGGTTTATATTGGAAGCTATGATATGACCAAAGATAGCCATACATTTTTAAGAAATATAGAAAACAAGTTTCTTTTTAGCAAACAGACTGACAGGCCTATCTCTGTCTCTCCCTGGCTGCTGTACTTGGTTTCTGATCTGCGTACTAGTGCCTCTTGGACTGAATTGCTCAGCCTGTCCCTGCAGGCTGTGGCAAACCTCTTTTTTTTTTTTTTTTTGTGTGTGTGTGTCTCTTGCTGGCACTCCATCTGTGGAGGAAAAAGCCCTAATGAAATGAGACCCTACTGTCATCTCGAAATTTGAAAGCCAGGGTATTTGTTCTGCATTTCTCAAGGCTGTTCTCTGCAGCACTGCATGAACCTCTCCCCCCTCTTTAATCTTCTACTAGAAGAAAAACACTATTAGCATCGTTGAACCTGATCATGACACATTTACTGAATGGCTTGTTGCCCCAGTGTAACCTGCTTTGATTTCAGTGGCATATGTTACTATTGTAAGTGGGGTAGCACATTGTAGGTCAGTGCAAGTTCCGTCATACAGTGTTAATTCTTTTGCCATCTGAAAACTCCTTTTATGATAACTGACCCAGAAGTACAAAAGTTGAAATAATACTAATAATCCAAGCACAGAAGAAGAAAGAGTTACAGAAATGGAAACGTACCTAGGGTTGTGTATTTGACCCATCTGGTTGCACATGTCTAGATACTGTCATTCCCACACATGGGTGAATCTATTGCACTGATGCTAAAATAGTATGACCCCAAATCAGCGATATAGTTTGAAGAAGGGAACTCCTCTTCTGACTCATTGCTGCTGTACGTTCAAGTAAGACCTCCACTCCAGTTTAGCCTGCATCTAATTTTATTTGCCTTAATGGCCTTAGGGCTGCCCTGTAGTGAAATTCAATTTGATGACTCATCTGCAAGGAGGGGGATTGGGATTGACTCTAGGTTTCTGGTGCTTTGTTCGTAACCAGTACAGTGCAGCAGTGTCATATAGGAAGAGAGTGAATCAAGCTTTGTGCACAAAACAGTGTGTCATACCTAAATTCTTAAGAGTTGGCATATATGAGTAAAGCTTTTATTTGTTTGTTTAATCAGAAATTGAATATCAGGATATATTGGTGGCTCTGAGGTGCTTGTTCAGGTTTAAGCAGGATAAGGCTGGTTGAAGGGACCAGTAGTGATACATAAAGCTTTCACTTTAGGCAGACAGTTGAAATTCGGCTAAGTTAGGAGTGATTCTGATGCTGCTTATTTAGTGACTTAGAAGAAATCTCTTGTTTTCCTCAATTCAGCTTTTGATAGAGAAGGCTTCCATGTCAATCAAGTAACATCACTAACTGGAACTGCTGTTGCCAAGCTGAAAGAGACAAAGGGATTTTATCCCTTTTGAGTTGTTCTGTGTACAAAGAAACTGTAGGGACAGAGACAAAGACCATCTAATTTAGGTCTCTCAAATCCTAGATTTTCCTAACCTCTAGAAGATCACTTGCTTCCACCTAGTTTTGTTTTCCAGTGAACCTTACAATGTACTAACATTTCACTAAGAAATATAAGAATACATTTTAAAAAGCATAATAGACTTACAGTTACTTTATGTACATATTTGCTATATTGCGGCTTATTCTTCATAATTATTCACATGTGATATTTCTGAATATTATTTCCTTATTTAAGGATTTAAAGTGTATTTACACAGTTGTCTAAAAATCTGATCCCCCTTGAATGCTATTAAAGAACAAACAAATATGGATTGTATTAGCATCGGAGGAGATGTTTGTTCAATCACTGTAACTCTGTCCTTCCAGACAAATACTCTTGAAGCTTATAATGTGTTACAAAGATTACCAAGGGGGAACTTTCTTCCATTTCCACCTCCATTACAAAGTTGAGCACATTCTAGCTCTGTGTGTAGCTCCAGCCCTTCCAAAGTGTTTTGGCAATGTTGAGTGTTTTGAAGTTGGGTCTCATGAGAAGGCTGTTTGAAAGGAAAATAAACTAGTGTCTGTTGTCTTTGTAAGAAAAATAACAAATAGGCAAGCTTTGTAAATGTTCTGTGAAAGATGAAAGAGAGATCATTTGACAAACTCACTTTCTTTTTCCTGTTGCTATTATGGTTTTGCTGCCATTGGGATGAGGAAAGGTAGAGGAAGGGTTTCAAAAGATCGATGTATTCAAGACAGGAGAGGAAGACAGCAGGAGAATGGATAATGAGACTAATGAAATCTGAAGAGCAGAGCTTTTACAGGCACCCCGCTGAGCCAGAGGGATTTTAAAACAAAGCTGCTGTAAAAGAAGATAAAGAGAACAAAGTGTAGAATAGACTGACGTATGGTTAGATTTAGGGTAGAACAGCTGTAATAAATAGAAGTCAATATCACGCATGACAAGTGTGATTGCAAAAAAGTATTTGTTTTTTATAACAGATTTGTTTGCAAGCTGTGTCTTAAAACATACGCAAGCTGACTGTGGTATCCCCAGGTAGAATCTAAAGCTGTGCAGAAAATTGTCGTAACTGCTTCTATTTGTCAGAGCTGGCTGTTCAGCCGGTCTAAGCAGGAGAATGCAGATGTTGTGTGTGTACCTTAGCACAAGCATTGCTAGGAAGGTATAGGTTATTCTCACAGCCATATGGAGTGACCGAGTTAAGAATACTTCTGTTGGAGAAGGCAACGTTACGGCATCAGGCGTTGACCACACTCAAGTACGAGGCAGTATCATGTGGCTTGAATTTTCAAGCCACATGACCTTCCAAGAAAAAGACCAGGGGCATAACTGTTACCATCCTACCAGCCTCCTCTCAAAATATCCAATTGTCACGGACTAATGACCCGTAGGCCTAATTGGCTAGGCATCCGAGTGCCTTAGCTAACTGCAGAAGGACATGGTTTGAAAATCAAGGTGTGTCCTCTCTGCCTGACCTGCAGCAAAGCTTCAGGTTTGTATTCCCAGTCTGAGTGCTGGATAGCTGCAACTTGACTTAAACAATGGAATTTTAGTAGTTGTGATGGGAGGGAGGCATGAGAAGAGAGAACATCAGACTGTGTTTTAGTTTAGGTGTGTTTATGCATATAATATTTCTCATGTGACCTCATGCAGATATGAAAATGTATTCTGAAAAATACCTTCCTTGTATTTTTTTCTAACGTGCCACTCCAGGCACGTGTACATGCTTCACTGCAAAGTGTTTTCTTTATTTTCCTCAACGTACTTTGACTTGATTCGTTAAAATGTTCAGTCATTAATTCTGTAACTTTGATACTGTGTGAACTACAGGAACTCTGTTTCTAAAAGTTCGTCTGTAAATCTTGTTATGAATGTAGTGAATTTGAAAAATCTTAAGGGATTTGGTAGAAGCATAGGCTTTAGTAACGTTCTGCCCTGCGATTGTTATTGCAGATTCTGAACTTGCCTTGATGTACAATGACTCATCAGTACTGGAGAATCATCACTTAGCTGTGGGCTTCAAGCTGCTGCAGGAAGAAAATTGTGACATTTTCCAGAATTTGACCAAAAAACAGAGGCAATCATTGAGGAAAATGGTCATTGACATTGTGAGTTCTGCTTGAGAGTCCCTCTTCCATTGTGCTAGGAAATTGAATAATAAAGCACAGAAGCATTTTATGATAAATTACGTGTCATTAGACCCATAACCAATGAAGTAAAAGATTGAAGTTTTATCGTGTCTTATCCAAACATGAATAGTGGGTTCTTTTCAGTTTCAATAACCACCTATACCTTTTTAGAACGTCAATCCTGCTTCAAGCTGTTTTTGTACTGACATGTATGCCATTTCATCATCACAGTTAGAAATTTGCTACTGAATTGATAATGAGTTTAGGCTGATCAGATCATTCTGAACAATTCTGAACAATCATTTTGTCATATTCTTAAAATAACCAAAATGAAAACTTACTATTGTGGACACTGATGACATACAGGACTCAGACTTTTATAGTGTATTCAGACACAGGAGTTACGGGTTCCTCCCGAACTGTTATTTATGCGTTCAAAGATTTTTTTAAAAATCAGTAGAATAATTTATGTAATATTCATTTATTTGTTTATTTCTTTCAAGGTACTTGCAACAGACATGTCTAAGCATATGAATCTATTGGCTGATTTAAAAACTATGGTTGAAACCAAAAAAGTGACTAGTTCTGGTGTCCTACTTCTTGATAACTATTCAGACAGGATTCAGGTAAGAAAATTCATCTGCACATGGTCACTTGTATTAACTTATATTCTTAGTAACGTTGGCCTGCCCATTCTCCAGCATGGGTTAGATCAGCTGTCCATTCTCACACCATGACTCACTACCTTCCCTCTACTCCTTATGTTTCCTGCCTGTGACATACTCTGTTAGGTACTGAGTGACTCTCTCTGAGAGAGTAACGAGGTGCTAGAGTACTTCTGGACAAAATGAGGCTTTGGCCTTCCCTTCATATTATCAGCACCTGACTGGTCTTTCTCTCTCTCAAAGATTTTCTGTCCCTTATACAGGCAGAAGCAGCAGAAGCGAGGTAATTCATGGCTATTACTGCAAGTGTGAAAAACACCCAAGCGCATAATTTTTTGCTGTTTAGAATAAATCTTGCACTGCATGTATTTTCAAGATTCTGTTTCACAGCCAGCAAAAGTGTAAATGGAAAAGGAGCTGTTTTTCTCCAGTGTAATAACACCACAGGTGTTCAATCTATTTTAGGTTCTTCAGAATATGGTGCACTGTGCAGATCTAAGCAATCCAACCAAGCCACTCCATCTCTACCGCCAATGGACAGACAGAATAATGGAGGAATTTTTCCGTCAGGGAGATCGGGAAAGAGAGAGGGGAATGGAGATAAGTCCCATGTGTGATAAGCACAATGCATCTGTAGAAAAATCACAGGTAATTGATTTGAGTAGGCAGTTGAATAACACAGTGTGACATTTTAACAGAAAAGGATGGTCCATAGCCATGTTTTGGTTAATTTCTGAATGCACTATTTCCGTTTTTTCCTCCCAGTTAATTAATTCAGCTCCTGAGTAGTAAGTGAGGGGAGCTGAGATTTTTGCTGTGAAAACATAGTGCATGGCAGTGTGTTTGCTGAAGGGATTCCATCGCTGTCATGATCTAAAATGAAGCATACATATCAAAAGAGAGTATTGTACAGCTGTTCATTAGGGTTTCCTTCAAAAGCAGAATTAAATATAAAGCAGCTTGTTGGCTCACTAGATGCAGTGGAGTCGTTTGGAATGAACAGTTCATTTGAAAACAAATTCTTTCCAAATCCTTATCCAATATCCTGAATCAGACTTTTGAAATGTAAAAGATCCTATTTACTAAATAAACCAGTATGGTTTCCTTTCAGCCACCTTTAAGGGTAGTGCATCTAGTGTCTCTTACTAGCATTATATTTCTCATACTTTGCATGACTTACAAACATAGTTGTTTATTTCTTTGTGAATAAGAGCTCATCCTAATTTTGTATCATTTGAAACAGGTGGGTTTTATAGACTACATTGTTCATCCTCTGTGGGAGACGTGGGCAGATCTTGTTCACCCGGATGCCCAGGATATCTTAGATACACTGGAGGACAATCGAGAATGGTACCAGAGCACAATCCCTCAAAGTCCCTCTCCTGCACCTGATGACCAGGAAGAGGGTAGGCAGGGCCAAACTGAAAAATTCCAGTTTGAACTAACACTGGAGGAAGACGGTGAGTCAGACACCGAAAAGGACAGTGGAAGTCAAGTAGAAGAAGACACCAGCTGCAGTGACTCCAAGACTCTTTGCACCCAGGATTCAGAATCCACTGAAATTCCTCTTGATGAGCAAGTAGGGGAGGAAGAGGAGGAGAACCAGACAGAACCTTGTGTGGTAGAAGACCATTCTCCTGACACGTAACAACGAAGATGCAGTCTCTTTCTCTCTTGCCCTCTCCCTTTCTTTTCCTCTTTTTCTCTGTTTTGTTTTGTTTTGTTTTGTTTTTATTAGGTAATGGTATCCAAAGTGTATGTCATATGCTACAGCCATGGTCACAACTCGCTGTCATCTGCCAGGACGTTTGTTGATAAAAACTGACCTTGATGACTCAGTTTGGCACTCAGGAATATTGTAACCAGAATTTTCACCTCCATGGCATCAGAAAGCAGGGGGGAGAACATTCATAAACTACATTTTAATAAGCTCTCCATTTGGCAGATTTGATTAAATAAAGCAGATGTTTTCAGAGGAGTACCACCTGCCAACCGAATGCTGGTATGCTTTGATAGTTTTTGAATTCATTGTATTTCACAAGCAAAGCATTGGATAATGTTCATCATGAGAGGAAAAAGACAGAAAATAAACTGAGGTTCCTACTGGAAAACAAATGCACATAAATGATGAGACACAACATGATTCTGTTACCAATAGGAAGATGAGCTGTGGAAATTGCTTAATTTTCTAATTTCAAGTCTTCCTGATACGTGACTGAAAAAAGTGTGACCCAGAGGGTTGCACTAACCTCTGCATTTTGTATAATATGTAAAAGAGAGATCTTTTGTAGAGCTTACTTTTATTATTAAATGTACTGAGGTATTATATTTAAAGAAAAACACTTTCAGACTGCATCTGCCACTGGTTATTTTTTTTTCCAAAGAGTAACTTGCAAGTTTTCAGTACAAATCTGTGCTACACTGGATAATAGTTCTAGGTTTTTTTCCTTTCCTTCTTTTTTTTGCACCTTAGAATCTCATGGTAATATTGAGCTGTAAAAGTCTACTATTTTATATGTTAGTGAGTTCCATGAATATCCTTTCTGTTACATAAAACTCTTTCAGTATGATGACTTGTTTGTTTGTCTTTTTATCACAATTTTCCCAAATTTATTAGAGGAACTTAGGTTGTACTTTTGCCCTCATAGTGGCCTGATTCTGCCAATTCTGTCTTACTACAAGAAGTGATCCCAGTGAAACCAGCTGGGACCACTAAGATAAGGATTTGCAGGACTAGAGCCTGTAAGAAAGGTAATGAATTGTCATCTTAATACAAAAGCAGCTCTTCTGCTATACCAATAAAATTCGTCCCTCTGAAAATGGTTTCCAGACCATTTTTGTCTGGGAGCTATAGACTGCTTAATTAGAATGGGCCAATACAATGTATGGAATATTCTTTCTGGCGAAAAAAGCATTAGTGTAGTATTTCCAATTTTGACTCTTTTAATAACTTTTTATCTGTGTCAGCTATCTAGTTAAACCATTTGCTAATCTGAGATGTATACGACATAAAAATAATGATTAGCATTATTTTTTCATGTCTTTGTTGCAGGAAGAGCCAGGTCAGACTTTTCTTTTTATGTTTTTAAGGAAATGAGCAATGCATCATGAGAGTTGTAGTTTACTCCACATTATTTCAATCTCAGATCTTTTAATCCTTCATCCAGCTTGTGCTGAGGGAATCCTCCTTTTCAGTTTGGTTGGTACTGAAAGCTTCTGTAACTTGGAAAGTTAAAGGGAGGTAGGAGTTTGTATTTGTCATTTTCCAGTCCTGTTGTTTGGTCACATGAAAGAGGAAGGAATTTTATTTCCTCTGCTTTACTCTTCGTTAAAATTGTAGTTTTGAGGGTAGAAGATGGGAAATAGTTGCCTAGGGAAGCTAGCAGACTCCTACTCTGTAAAATTCTGGTAAAATGACAATACCAAGATGATTTCTTAACAAAAGATAGCAACAGCCATTATTTCCCCTTTGGATTCATTTTGTAGTAAATTTGCAGATATGAATACAGGGGTTTTTTAAAGTGTCTGAGATCTAGAATAAAAACCTGTTTGAAAACGATTGGCTAATAACTCAGCTTTTAAATGGATTTTGCATTCTTCTATGTCCAGGTCATAGTTTTGTCTACCTTTAGCCGACACAGGGCCTTAGCACAGAAGATGCTGAAGGAGGAAAGAGAATGAAGAGAACTCATGGGGTTTTTTTGGTTTTTTACTCTTTTTCTTGTTCTTCATCATTTCTTCCTGTACTTGATCCATCTAAAAATCCTTTCAGTCCCCAAGAGTGCCTGGAACCTTAATACTGGAAAAGCAATATAAATTCCAAAATAACCAATAGGGACCTGAAAAGGTTTTGTTTCTGCACTAATTGAAAGTAAATGAAAAGAATAACATCATATTGTGAGATATAAACCCATACATGTGGACAATCAAATAATAGAAAATTACATCATTTCTTAGAGCCGGGGATATAATGCACTGTACAATCTTTTTTTTCCTCTTTTGCCAAAGTGTGTTTTAGTATTGCACACTGCTTTAAAACAATACAATTTACAAGTGGCTTTTTGTGTTCTGAATACTTTTGCCATAAGAAAATGCAGTGAGTGGGTATTGAGTGGGGGAAAAAAGAAAATTCTCTTTGCTTATAACTTTAGCTTGCAAGTTACTGTACTCAGTAATGCTGTATTTGAATTCTTAAATTGTTTTGTGTCATTATTAAAAACAATAATGAAAGAATATAGATAGAACAAATAGCATTCAGAAGTTTAAAAAACTTGAATGAAATGGATTTTACAGAAAGCTTTGACAGTTCTTTTCAAATGCATTATTTATTTGTGCCATGCATTTTTCTCACCAAATGACCTTACCTGTAATACAGTCTTGTTTGTCTCTGTTTACAACCATGTATTTATTGTAATGTACATACTGTAATGTTAATTGTAAATTATCAGTTCTTATTATAACATCATCCTTTTCAGGGTGGTGTTGCTATATTTGGAAACTCTTGGTGAGAGAATGATTATTGTGTATACATATTCCTTGTACATTTTTTCTCCTGTAATATATTCTATGTCACCTTAGAGCTTGTTTATGGAAGATTCAAGAAAAGTATAAAATACATAAAGATATATCAATAAAAAAAGCTGCAGGTCTTTGGTCCCAGGGCTGTGCCTTAACTTTAAACAATATTTTCTTCTGTTTTGCTGCATTTGAAAGTAAGGTAGCTGTGGGGATAGGGCTGGGCATTTCTACCATATTTTTAGATGCTAACTGATGGGATTACTCGTACGAGCTAATATGCATGATACTGCAGTGAGCTTTCATTCATGACCCTTCTGGAAGTTCAAGCTTTTCCAGGCTTCTGGCAATATAATTGTTGTATTGCCTCTCTGATTATCTTTTTACAGGCTGCTATCAGGGATTATTGCAGCCATTTTTCGCTCCTAAAAAAAATAAAAATTGGTGCTGTATTTCAGTACTGAATTGCACTGAAACAGCTTTGGAAAGCATCTGTAATAAGCATTTGATTTTAATGCATATTGGGAAATGGAATAATTGGAATTAAAAGGGTATAATTCATACACTTTTACAATCGTCTGTAATATGCCTTTTTTATTTAGTTGCACAAATTATCACTGTATAAGCAGAATCCATGAAGTAGGACAAAAGACAACTTTAATCTTGGAAATGCTTTCCAACACCAATATTAGTGTTATAAGCAGCCAAAGTTTTATTTTATATAGATGTATCTAAAAGGCTTTTTACAGGTGTGTATAGCATAATGCACTAGATCTACAGGAGAGTGGTAAACCTTTAGATCTTTTAATAACACTAGTATTAGGTTTGCAGGTTGGACTGAGCATCTCTTGCTGCTTGACTTGTCACGTTGCTCCAGACTACTTAGAGCTGATATCAATGAATTTGCCAGAGCGAGGTAGATACCTCTCTTCCATTCCAGCGATGCCCAGCCCACGTAGCATACGACAGCTTTGTGAAAGGAGAGATTCTTTTTCAAGGAAAAACAGAGCCTCCTTTTTGACACAAACTGTAGATTTTAGCAGCCCTGGCCCAAAGTAAATAGATTGCTTTTGTTTTAAACGGTAAAAAAGGGACACTATAACAACAGAAATCTGAACAATTTTTTGTTATTGTTTTAATTTGATTTTTCCTTTGGGTATGTCTTGAGAGTGGCAACTTGTGTGAACATTGCACATGACTATTCTTTCACTGGTTTCTTAGCCTCTCTTACAGCCTATGGGATAGTACTGTACGTCAATATCTTCATATGAAATTTTATATGCAATGGAAATAAAAGCATGGGTTGATTCTGCCTAATTACTGTATTTGATTTTCTTTTGCAAGTTAAGGTTTTTTTACATACATCCCATAGTTGTGACATCTTAAGAGAAAGCATATTTCCAGAATAATTTGATTACCCTATTTTTGTCATCATACTGTTTTGCATAGATAATACAAAATAAATGTGGGGGCAAATCAGAAAAGTCAATCAAATGTCGTATTTCATAAAGAAGTCTAATCCACAAAGGCGCTATACAGTTGTATAGACAGCCATTCAATCTCAGTTTTCAGGAAATTTTACCATTGGCTTCAGTGGCAAAAGCAGCCTAATCTGAGAAAATAAAACTTTACCTTTAAAGAAACTAGAAGACTACGGATTGCCTAGAGAAGCCATACGCTGGGATACCACAAAGAAAAAAGAAAAAGAGTACCATAGTTAAATATTGACCAGACAATCTCAGCTCTAAATGGATGGTAAAAAGAAATTGTTTTTTAAAATAAAATTCATAAATGACAGCTCTTGTCTTGAAAAAAAAATGTGGTCTTAATGCAGGTCCAGCTCTTGGAGGTGACTTTCATGCACCTCTCCTTGATTAGAGTGAGGGTTTTGTTTGGGGGGTTTGTTGTTTGTTTAACTGAAAATAGTTTCTGATTGAGTACAAGAAAAATTCTAGGTCCATTTTTTCCTTAAGTCTCTTAGATCCTTGTCTGGGATTAGTTTGCAAGGAGTACCAATCCTTAGGACTCCTTTTTAATCACACCTTGGTGCAGAAGAGGCTGGTAAATGCTGTGCTGGGAAGATGAAGGATGCTGCATTGAGCACAGCGGGGCAGATAAACCAGGTGATGCCTGTTGCTCTTCGCAGGCTCATCCTCACAGGTTCCCAGCGGCCCTAATGGGAAAATGGTTTGCGTAATAGCCTAGTGGCTATTACGAAGAGAAGCAGGAATCCCAAATTCATGTTGGCACTACTAAAACCTTTTCAGTAAGGAGCTCAGGTACCACAGCTGTGCATGCGGTCAGCCTGAAGCTGGCAGGATTAGCCCACTGCTTCCTACATCCTCTGGCAGTACTTCATCAGTCTCTGCATGGCAATAATGAGTCAGAATAGCCAAGTGAATTTCAGAGCAAAACCAAAATGGATCCCCTGTTTCACTGCAACCAGCTGCTGCTATAGGAGTTGAATGTATTTTTGAATGAATGACTCTTCTGTTTCCTAATGAGACAAATAGTCTGAATAGCTGCAGCTCTGTTTGCTTGATCTCTCTGCTGCATTGAAAACAAAAGTCACAGCTGCTAGCACACATAGTGTTTACTGGGATGACCACCCCAGTTTCTCTACCAGCTGTGAATAATTTTGCTTGTTTTGCCAGGAAAAAAAAAAAAAAAAAACCAACATGAAAGTTTAAAGATGTTATAAAAGCTTTTAGTTAGTTCAATTTAGTTTAGCCTGCAGCGTAAAGAAAACCTCCAACTTCCTCCTGTCAAACTGGTTGAGAAATCTGCAGAAGTAATAAAGGGGGATAGGA